CTGGGTAACAAGAGTGAAACTCTGTTACCCAGGCTGGAGTGCAATGGCGCGATCTCGGCTCACCGCAACCTCCGCCTCCTAGGTTCAGGCAATTCTCCTGCCTCAGCCTCCTGAGTAGCTGGGATTACAGGCACGCGCCACCATGCCCAGCTAAGTTTTTGTAGTTTTAGTAGAGACGGGGTTTCACCATGTTGACCAGGATGGTCTCGATCTCTTGATCTCGTGATCCACCCGCCTCGGCCTCCCAAAGTGCTGGGATTACAGGCGTGAGCCACCGCGCCCGGCAGCAATTTTTAAGAATATGCATTGCCACTGACTGTATCACAATGTTGTACAATGTGTTTTTACTTTTTTGTAGTCTTTTTTTTTTTTTTTTCCCCATTTTTTGGAGAACGGGGTCTCACTATTTATTGTCCATGCAGGTCTCAATCTCCTGGGCTCAATCTAGCTTCTCACCTCTGCCTCCCTAAAAGCTGGGATTATAGGTGTGAGCCACTGTGCCTGGCTGTTTTTACTTTTAAAGGATCTTTAATACCATTGTTCACCCATAAATCAGTCTGTATTTGTGAAAGATGTTGGTTTTGAGGATCACTGAACCATATGAACCTGAATAAATAACTATCCATAATTTTATGCTCCTTAAGTCAAAAGCATGTTGAGGTAGCATTTTGTTTTCCAAATAGTGTTTTTTTGCAAGTTTATATGGACCAACCTGATACCACATTCCTTTTGAAAATAAGACAGTATCAGTATTTCATTTTCATTTGTCCTGTATTTCTACTTATGTTAATTATGAGTAAAGATACTTGTTTGGCATGTAGTTGATACAGAATGTAGTCATACATAATCAGTGTGGTTTTTCTTGTCTTAGGGACCCCAATGATTCCTGTACCAATGAGCATTATGGCTCCTGCTCCAACCGTAAGTACAACTTAAAGGAGGAATCATGAGTTATGGTAGTGCTAGTGCTTTTAAGTTAAACAGCGTGCTTAGATAAATTACGAGTATTTAAAAGAATAACAAGGACAGAATGAGAGCATACAGCATATGTCATTTATTTGAGTGTTATTTTCACTTAGGTGTGCATATATATAGTTGCCCCTACAGTGTGCTCTCTAGGTGGATAATTCTGTGATTTTCCTGTTGCTCTCAAGACTCTTCATATACTTGTTATTACAGATTTAGGACTTTGGCTTTCTCACCTTGGTCCTGGGAGGTAGGAGAAGGATGTGACATGTCTGATCTCTTTAAAGAACATAGGAATGATCCTTGTATTTCAGGCTTAGGGAAAGCTAGAATTTTTTTTTTTCTTTTTTTTTTTTTGAGACGGAGTTTCACTCTTGTTACCCAGGCTGGAGTGCAATGGCGCGATCTCGGCTCACCGCAACCTCCGCCTCCTGGGTTCAGGCAATTCTCCTGCCTCAGCCTCCTCAATAGCTGGGATTACAGGCATGCGCCACCATGCCCAGCTAATGTTTTGTATGTTTAGTAGAGATGGGGTTTCACCATGTTGACCAGGATGGTCTCGATCTCTTGACCTCGTGATCCACCCGCTTCGGCCTCCCAAAGTGCTGGGATTACAGGCTTGAGCCACCGCGCCCGGCCGGGAGAGCTAGAATTTAGGGGTGGAGCAGTTCTCCTGTTTACCGCTATTTATTCAGTGCCTACTGAGGGTGTTTGCTGAGTTCAGTGTCACATACAAAGATGTGTTTCTTCCCTGGAAAAGTTGGAAGTCGTAAAGGGAAAATAAGATAGCAGAAATAACTGATAAAAGGCAAAATATGGGGAGAGTGCCATGGGATATTTGAATATTTTGCCAGAGAATTAGCATGGATAATTGAAATTTGCTGTTATATTGGTATTGAGTACAATTGTGAAAAAACTTCTGGATATATTTGATAATTTTAAATGTTTTGTCTTTTTTTGGTGGGGGGGCATGGAGTTTCTCTCGTTTCCCAGGCTGGAGTACAATAGCATGGCTCACTGCAGCCTCCATCTCCCAGGTTCAAACGATTCCCCTGCCTCAGCCTCCTGAGTAGCTGGGATTACAGGCACATGCCACCACACCAGCCTAATAATTTGTATTTTTAGTAGAGACAGGGTTTTACCACGTTGGCCAAACTGGTCTTGAACCCCCAGCCTCAGATGATCTGCCCACTGCGGCCTCCCAAAGTGTTGGGATTACAGGCGTGAGCCACCACGCGAGGCCTAGGGCATAATTTTTAAATGTTTAAGACATAGGCCCAGCACGGTCTCTACTGAAAATACAAAAAATAAGCCTGGCGTGGTGGCACACACTTATAATCCCAGCTACTTGGGAGGCTGAGTGAACCCGGGAGGTGGAAGACTCCATTTCAACAAATAAAAAACGAAAATAAAAATTACCTCTTAAAGTTTTCTTGGTTATTTTTGTTTCTTTTGTATGAAGAAAGGTAATGTAGTAGAAGTGTACTTGTCACAAATATGTTTGCATTAATGAAATGTACTATGCATTTTAGGTGCTTTAGATTAAGTATGCAAGCATGCAGAGCTTAAATAATGTGCTATATATATTTATTTAATCCTGAGGTTTTTAGCCTAATGTTAACTGTGGTAGGAAATTTAATTGCTAGATCAATTTTTATTCCCTTTTCAGGTCTTAGTACCCACTGTGTCTATGGTTGGAAAGCATTTGGGCGCAAGAAAGGATCATCCAGGCTTAAAGACTAAAGAAAATGATGAAAATTGTGGTCCCACTACTACTGTTTTTGTTGGTAACATTTCTGAGAAAGCCTCAGACATGCTTATAAGACAACTCTTAGCTGTAAGTTAAACTGTTTATTTTTCATGAAAAGTTCTTTTATTGTTATATATTTCAAACTTAAGCAGAAAGATTTTCAGTGATTGCTTTTTATTTTAAAAAATTTCAATCCTTCAGCAAAGGTGAAGGTAGTACAGTGAACACGCTTGTATTCTTTTCCTAGATTTATCAGTGAACATGTTTAGATACTTTGTGTACACATGTGTACCACACATATTTTGTTCTTGGATAATTTGAGAGTAAATTTTGACATGACATTTCACCTGTGAATCCTTCATGTATTTCCTAAGAGCAAGGACGTTCTCTGACATAATCACAATGCCACTGTCACTTGAAATTTGGCTGGGTGTAGTGGCTTTTGCCTGTAGTTGTAATCCCAGTCCTTAGCGAGGCCCAGGCAGGAGGATCTCTGTAAGCTAGGAGTTCGAGGCCAGCCTGGGCAATGTATTGACACACATCTTTACAAAAAATTAAAAAATAATAGGGCCGGTTGTGGTGGCTCATGCCTATAATCCCAGCACTTTGGGGAGATTGAGGTGGGCGGATCATTTATGGTCAGGAGTTCAAGACCAGCCTGATCAACATGGTGAGACCTCCATCTCTAGTAAAAATACAAAAATTAGCCAGGTGTGGTGGCGTGCACCTGTAATCCCAGCTACTGGGGAGGCTCACGCAGGAGAATCCTTTGAACCTGGGAGATGGAGGCTGCAGTGAGCTGAGGTCATGCCACTGCACTCCACCCTGGGCGACAAAGTGAGACTCCTTTTAAAAAATAATAATAATAGCCGGGCGCGGTGGCTCAAGCCTGTAATCCCAGCACTTTGGGAGGCTGAGGCGGGTGGATCACGAGGTCAAGAGATCGAGACCATCCTGGTCAACATGGTGAAACCCCGTCTCTACTAAAACTACAAAAAATTAGCTGGGCATGGTGGTGCGTGCCTGTAATCCCAGCTACAAAGGAGGTTGAGGCAGGAGAATTGCCTGAATCCAGGAGGCGGAGGTTGCGGTGAGCCGAGATCGTGCCATTGCACTCCAGCCTGGGTAACAAGAGCGAAACTCCGTCTCCTGGATTCAGGCAATTCTCCTGCTAATAATAATAATAATAATAATAAAAGACGAGTGTGCTGGTGCCTGCCTATAGTCCCAGTTGTTCTAGAATCTGAGGTAGGAGAATTGCTTGAGTCTAGGAGTTCAAGGCTGCAGTGAGCTATGATCTTGCAATTGCACTCCAGCCCAAGCAAGAGAATTTCTAAAACACACAAAAAATATGAAATTGATATAATATTGTTAACTAATGCATATGTAGTTCATATTTAATTTTCCCAATAATGACCATAACATTACTAGTATTAGTTTTTGTCCATGATCGAGTGAAATATTTCATGTATTTTTGAGACAGATTTGCTCTGTCACATAGGCTAAGTGTAGTGGTGTGATCTCTGCCCACCACAAACTCTGCCTCCTGTATTCAAGCAATTCTCATGCCTCAACCTCCCGAGTAGCTGGGATTACAGACATGTGCCATGACACCTGGCTTATTTTTGTATTTTATGTAGAGACGGGGTTTCTCCATGTTGGCCAGACTTGTCTCGAACTCCTGCCCTCAAGTGAACTGCCTGCCTTGGCTTCCCAAAGTGTTGAGATTACAAGTGTGGGCCACCATACCTGGCTTGGGTTAATATTTTGAGACTGTGTGAATCCTTTTCCCCAGCAACCTTAAACAATTATTTTAGCATTGACTGATTCCTTTTTAAGTTTTATTCTGAGCAGGAATAGTAATAAGTTGTTTACATTTGGTAAAAGTTGTTGATTCACTTTTTTTAACCTGTTGATTCACTGTCTTTAAGGTGTTAAAAACATCTTAATCTTGGTGATACATGTACATTATTAAGTGAAATAATGCTGAATGATTGTGTAATTAAAAAATAAGGCTGGGCGCAGTGGCTTACGCCTGTAATCCCAGCACTTTGGGAGGCCGAGGCGGGCAGATCACGAGGTCTGGAATTTGAGCCTACCCTGGCCAACATAGTGAAACCCTGTCTCTTAAAAAAAAAAAAACCCCGTCTCTACTAAAAATACAAAAATTACCTGGGCATGGTTGTAGGCAACCTGTAATCCCAGCTACTTGGGAGGCTGAGGCAGTAGAGTCACTTGAACCTGGGAGGCAGAGGTTGCAGTGACCCGAGATCATGCCGCTGCACTGCAGCCTGGGCTACAAAGTTAGACTTCATCACACACACGAAAAAAGAGGTTGGAAGAATGACTACATTCTGCACTGAGAGGACCTGCAAAGATGTCATTCTTCATCTGTATCCCAGAATCCTGTGCAGGTTCTCTATAGGGACAAGGCCAGGGTTATCTCAACCTGTGGCCCACCTCATGAGTAGTTCAAGTCCGGCAATCCTGTCGTCCTCTAGAGACATTGTTGCCTGCTCTCCTTATGCCCTTCTGTTTGAGATGCTGGGCAATTACTTTACACCATTCATGATTCTTGTTCCACAACTCTTATATTTAAGAATTTCCTATTCTTTTAGAAACCTGGATCTCCTGGGCACTCTAAATTTTAATTAACTGGTCTGAGGATGTTTCGGGTTTCTCAGTTTTATTACTTCCATGACATTTTTGGTGATTTCAGTCTGAAGCCTGACTCCATTTTTATTCCTGGGTTTTCTCCTGGGCCTCTTTTCACTGCAGCCACAGGGCCTAATCCGGGGTCTGCAGAGAACTGGCACTTACTCTGCTCTAATAGAATTCTGGAAAGTCAGAGGGTACCGGAGTGTAGATATGTTTGCTCCTGTCTGCTTCTGGAAGTCTCTGTTTTGCTATGTTACTACTGCTAATGTTGTCTTCCTAGGTGTATGTGAAAAGATTCTCATCACATATTCTCATAGAAGTGTCATTTCTGAGTCCTAGGGCATGCGTATCTTCAGCTTTATAAGATAATCCACACCAATTATATTTTTGCAGCAGTGTCATGTCCAAGTTTCTATTCTTTTTTTTTTTTTTTTTTTTTTTTTTTGGAGACGGAGTTTTGCTCTTGTTACCCAGGCTCAAGTGCAATGGCGCGATCTCGGCTCACCGCAACCTCCGCCTCCTGGGTTCAGGCAATTCTCCTGCCTCAGCCTCCTTAGTAGCTGGGATTACAGGCACGTGCCACCATGCCCAGCTAATTTTTTGTATTTTTTTAGTAGAGACGGGGTTTCACCGTGTTGACCAGGATGGTCTCGATCTCTTGACCTCGTGATCCACCCGCCTCGGCCTCCCAAAGTGCTGGGATTACAGGCTTGAGCCACTGCATCTGGCCCCAAGTTTCTATTCTTATACCTCTTTTTTAGTAGTTAGTGTTTATTTAGACTTTTACACAGGTGGCAAAATTGTGAATAAGTGTTATTATGTAAATAGTTTGGGCGGAACTAGGTCATGTGCTATGATTGCATTTTCTTTTCTTTTCTTTTTTGTGATGAAATCTCACTCTTAACCCAGGCTGGAGTGCAGTGGTGTGATCTCAGCTCACTGCAACATCTACCTCCTGGGTTCAAGTGATTCTTCTGCCTCAGCCTCCTGAGTAGCTCGGATTATGGGCGCCTGCCACCACAACTGGCTAATTTTTGTATTTTCAGTAGACACGGGTTTCACCATGTTTGCCAGAATGGCCTGGAAGTCCTGACCTCAAGTGATCTGCCCGCCTCATCCTCCCAAAGTGCTGGGATTGCATGGGTGAGCCACTGTGCCTGGCCCATTTTCTTATTTTAATTTTTAATTAATTAGTTAATTGGTTGTATATGTTTTTGAAACAGGGTCCTTGCTCTTTTGCACAGGCTGGAGTGCAGTGGTACAATCATGGCTGGGCTCAAGTGATCCTCCCACCTCAGTCTCCTGAGTAACTGGGACTACAAGTGTGCATCATCACACCTTGCTAATTTTTTGTTGTTGTTGTTTAAATTTTCTGTAGAGATGGGGCCTTGCCATCTTGCCCAGGCTGGTCTCAAACTCCTGGGCTCAAGACAGAGTCACACTCTCTTGCACAGTCTGGAGTGTACTGGCGTGACCTCTGCTCACTGCAACCTCCACCTCCTGGATTCCTGTGATTCTTCTGCCTCAGCCTCCTGAGTAGTGAGATTACAGGCACCCGCCACCATGTCCAGATAATTTTTGTATTTTTTAGTAGAGACGGGGTTACACCATGTTGGTCTTAAACTCCTGACCGCAAGTGATCCACCTTCCTCGGCCTCCACAGTGCTGGGATTACTGGCATGAGCCACTGCCCCCAGCCAGTTTCCCTTTTCTAGAGCCTCTCCTGTCACGCCCCTTTGTCTCATGTGTTCTGGTTCCTCTAAGTCTACTTTTATCGTTGGATTTATTCTGTCTTTTTTAGTATTCCCTTTATTGCTCTCCTGTGTTGGATGGTTTGGATCCTATGTCTTGGCTTGTGTTGACACACAGTAGCTTCCTGTTATATGGCGGTGATACATCCTCTGTATATGATGTACATAGTGTATATGGGTATGTGGTTGGTAGCTTTGCAGAATCTGAAGTGCTTTTTATATTGATTATTCGTGTGGCCAGTAGTTTACTTGGATTAAAATTCTATGTTGAAGCTTATCTTCCTCACACTGAATGTGTTGCATCATTGTGTTACAGCATCTAACGATGATTTTTGGAAGTATTGGATCATTCTGAATTTTTTTTTTTTGAGACGGAGTCTCCCTCTGACGGCAGGCTGGAGGTACAGTGGCAGGATCTCGGTTCACTGCAACCTCCGCCTCCAGGGTTCAAGCGATTCTCCTGCCTTAGACTCCTGAGTAGCTAGGACTATAGGCGTGCGCCACCATGCCCAACTGAATTTTGCATTTTTAGTATAGATGAGGTTTCACCATGTTGGCCAGGCTACTTTCTTACTGTTTTGTACTGGTTCTTGGGATTTGTCCTCAACTTTACCTTCCAGACTTCATTGAATGAATGAATGAATGAATGAATGAATGAATGAATGAATGATTTTGAGACGGAGTCTCGCTCTGTTGACCGTGGACCGTGCAATGGTGCGGTCTCGGCTCACTATAACCTCCATCTCCCAGATTCAAGCAATTCTCCTGCCTCAGCCTCCTGAGTAGCAGGGATTACAGGTGCACACCAAACCATACCCGGCTAATTTTTTTGTATTTTTAGGAGAGGCAGGGTTTCAGCATGTTGATTAGGCTAGTCTCAAACTCCTGACCTCGTGATCCACCGGCCTCAGCCTCCCAAAGTGTTGGGATTATAGGCGTGAGCCACCACGCCTGGCAGAATATTTATTTTTAATACCATGTTTCAAGTTTCCGTTTTCTATTGTTCTCTGAAGATTTCTCACCTACACCTTCCCCTGTCCTTTTTTAACTGGGTGGAACCTTATTTATTTATTTTTTTGAGACAGAGTCTGGTTCTGTTGCTCAGGCTAGAGTGCAGCTGCATGATTACAGCTCACTGCAGCCTGGATTTCCTGGGCTCAAGCCATCCATCTGATTCAGCCTCCTAAGTAACTGGGACCACTGGTGTGTGCCACCACACCTATTTTTTTTTTATTTTTGTAGACATGGTGTCTCCCTATGTTGCCTAGGCTGGCCTTGAACTCCTGGGCTCAAGCAGTCCTTCCCCTTCAGCCTCCCAAAGTGTTGGGATTACAGACGTGACCCACGCCTGGCTGCTTTTATTTTTAAAGTATAATAGTGTCCCATGGTTTGAATAACCTGCCTGCCTTCACGTTTTAGAATATTTCTCTTTATTTTACAAAACATTGTTCTTATAGTTAAATAAAGTCTTACTGTGTATCTGCATTTTCTTTTTCCAAGTTATTTTTGCATACCATATCAACCATTTTCCCATGTTAAAAATCCTCGATAAATTTATATATATTGTTTCAAAACATTTCTTTATAGGTTCTTTATAATATTTACTTGAATTTATTATAGTTTTAACCATTCTAATTTTAGATACTTAGGTTTATGTATGTATTTTGGTAGTATTAGTAGTGATACAAAACTTCTAATTTATTAAAAGGTAAAGAATTTTCTGCAAATGAAGAATCAGTAAGAATTTATATTTTTCTTTTTTTTTTTCTTTTTTTTTTTTTGAGATGGAGTTTCGCTCTTGTTACCCAGGCTGGAGTGCAATGGCGCGATCTCGGCTCACCGCAACCTCCGCCTCCTGGGTTCAGGCAATTCTCCTGCCTCAGCCTCCTGAGTAGCTGGGATTACAGGCGCGCACCACCATGCCCAGCTAATTTTTTGTATTTTTAGTAGAGATGGGGTTTCACCATGTTGACCAGGATGGTCTCGATCTCTTGACCTTGTGATCCACCCGCCTCGGCCTCCCAAAGTGCTGGGATTACAGGCTTGAGCCACCGCACCCGGCCTATATTTTTCTTAAAATGATGTGTTGTCCATTTCTTTCATGTGATAAGTTTGTGGAAATTGGGGAAATTTTCACAAATGTAGTTGCTCGTTTTTTCTTGTATCTTTTTTCCCCCTAGTAGAAATATAGTTTTGCTTTTACATTAAAAATTATTTTGGCCGGGCTTCGTGGCTCACACCTGTAATCCAAGCACTTTGGAGGCCAAGGCGGGCCAATCACCTGAGGTCAGGAGTTCAAAACCAGCCTGACCAACATGGTGAAACCCCGTCTTTAAAAAATAAAAAATAAGCCGGGCGTGGTGGCTCAAGCCTGTAATCCCAGCACTTTGGGAGGCCGAGGCGGGTGGATTATGAGGTCAAGAGATCGAGACCATCCTGGTCAACATGGTGAAACCCCATCTCTACTAAAAATACAAAACATTAGCTGGGCATGGCGGCATGTGCCTGTAATCCCAGCTACTCAGGAGGTTAAGGCAGGAGAATTGCCTGAACCCAGGAGGCGGAGGTTGCGGTGAGCCGAGATCACGCCATTGCACTCCAGCCTGGGTAACAAGAGTGAGACTCCGTCTCAAAAAATAATAATAAAAATAAATAAAAATAAAATTATTTTGTTAAATGGTAGCAATCTTTTTGTTTTGTTTTCTTTTTAAGAAATGTGGTTTGGTTTTGAGCTGGAAGAGAGTACAAGGTGCTTCTGGAAAACTTCAAGGTAGGTCATTTTTTACTTATTTGCTGAAATCACTTTAACCTGTGTGCTTAAATCACTTTGCATGACTTACTCTCGTTGTCTTTAACAGTGAGACTTATTAGCATTCTTTATCTTCTTTTTTATTGAAATAGGATTAAAAGGCAGTTTGGGAAAATATTGGCTGAGAGTTAAGATCAGAAGAAGAAGGAAAAAGGTAACAGGAAGGAGACAGGAAGGGAAAAAATTAAAATTCCTCAATTTAACTGGTTTCTCATACTTCCAAAGTCTCTTTTGTCTCAAGAAATGACTGTATGATCAAGATGGAACAATTAGAATTTAGTAAGGGAGGAGGAGAAGAGACAATCATGGCCTGTTGACTTTTTTTTTTTTTTTTTTGGGAGATGGAGTCTCTGTCACCTAGGCTGGAGTGTAGTGGCTCCATCTTGGCTAATGCAACCTCTGCCTCCCAGGTTCAAGAGATCCCTCCTGTCACAGCCAAGTGCTGGGATTACAGGTGTGAGCCACTGTTCCCAGCCATCGCCTGTTAGCTTTTGAAGGCAATCTGTAATTTTCATGGCTAATTGTGTTTCAACTGTACTCTTACTCTTTTCTTCCTCTTTATATTGTTTGAAAGCAAATCTCAAGCATCCCATGAGTTTCTATGGCTTTTTTTTTTTTTTTTTGAGACGAAGTTTAGCTCTGTCACCCAGGCTGGAATGCAGTGGCGCCATCTTGCCTCACTGCAACTTTTGTCTCCCAGGTTCAAGTGATTCTCCTGCCTCAGCCTCCTGAGTAGCTGGGATTACAGGCATGCACCTCCAGGGCTGGCTAATTTTTGTATTATTAGCAGAGGCAGGGTTTTACCATATTGGCCAGGCTGGCCTCTAACTGTTGACCTGAAGTGATCAGCCCACCTTGGCCTCTCAGAGTGCTGGGATTACACGTGTGAGCCAATGTGCTGGGCCTTCACATGAGTTTCTTTGTAAATATTTTAGCGTGTGTCTCTTAGAGATAAGGGCTTTAAAAAATCATATCTAAAATATTAGCTAGTATAATTCTAAGACTTAAACAAAATTATAAGACAAACAAACAATTTTTCCTTTTTTTTTTTCCTTTTGAGACAGTCTCACTCTGTCGCACAGGCTGAGAGTGTAGTGGCATGATCTTTCCTCACTACAGCCTCTACCTCCCAGGTTCAGACAATTCACCTGTCTCAGCCTCCTAAGAAGTTGGGACGACAGATGTGTGCCACCATGTCTAGCTAATTTTTGTAGAGATGAGGTTTTGCCATGTTGGCCAGATTGGTCTTGAACTTCTGGCCTCAGGTGATTCACCTGCCTTGGGCTCCCAAAGTGAGCTATTATGCCTGGCCTCTTTCTTTATATCATTAAATATTCAGTCAATAGTAGAAGTCTCGTGTCAAATGCCTCAAATGTCAGGTTTTTTTTTTTCGTTTTTCTTTCTTTTTTTTGAGACAACGTCTTACTCTATTTCTCAGACTGGAGTGCAGTGGCGTGAGTTCGGCTCACTGCAACCTCTGCCTCCCAGGTTCAAGCGATTTTCCTGCCTCTGCCTCCATGGTAGCTGGGATTATAGGTGTCCGCCACCACACCCGGCTAATTTTTGTATGTTTAGTAGAGTTGGGATTTCACCATGTTTGCCAGGCTGGTCTCGAACTCTTGACCTCAGATGATCCACTTACCTCAATGCTGGGATTACAGGTGTGAGCCTGTATGAGACCTATGCCTGGTCTCAAATGTCAGTTTTTTAAATAGTTCATTTGATTCAGGATCTATATGAAGTTCACACATTGCAACTAATAGGCAATTTAAGTCCCTTAATATTTTATTATTAGCACCGTCTTCTAACCAACTGAACTAACTGGCCATACTTTTAATATTTTAAATTATTCTATTTCTTATTTTCCTTGCAGTTTGTTGAAGAAACTGGGTCATTTGTGCAGTAGCATTTGTTGAGTTTTGCCAAATGCTGCTCCAGTAGTATAATTTGCCATGAATTTGTCCTCTGTATTTTCTGTAAACTGGTTAGTAGTTGAACCTTGATGTGTGCTTTTTTTTTTTTTTTTTTAATGCTTTTATCCTAGCATCTCATAGCAAGAATACTATAAAGGTAATATTCTTCCATCAGGGGACACCTGTGAGATTGTCTTTTTTGTGTATGTAATAGCATCAGTGTTGCCAGTGCCTAGGTTGATGAATTCATTGAGAAGTAATTCATCAGTAGTCTGTTTTGAAGAATTCTGTCATTCTTTCACTGAGGAACAACAAATCTTCATATGTTAACAGAATGCTTCTCTATGGAGAAACTTGCCCCTGCATCTACTGTTTGGTTACCTAGAGGTATTTTTGTTGTTGTTGAGACTGAGGTTTTTGCTCCTGTTGCCCAGCCTGGAGTGCAATGGCGCAGTCTCAGCTCACGTGACTTCAGCCTCCTGGAGTGATTCTCCTGCCTCAGCTTCCCAATTAGCTGGGATTACAGGCGCTCACCACCACGCCTGGTTATTTTTTTGTACTTTTAGTAGAGGCAGGATTTCGCCATATTTGCCAGTCTAGTCTTAAACTCCTGACCTCTCAGGTGATCCACCCACCTTGGCCTCCCAAAGTGCTGGGATTATAGGCTTAAGCCACCACGCCTGGCATAGAGGCATATTTAACAGGCAAGGCGGGGTAAATGCCCTGACTTTGTTTAAGTAATGAGTTGGTGTCTTCAGCATTTTCTAACAATGGCTGATTTTCTATTGTGAACTTATGAATTAAAGCATATTTAATGTTACTGTGTTTAATATGGATTCATTGTAGTTATTATCGCCATTAAAGCTTAACTTAAAATTGTCTCTGCACTTTACATCTCCAGTGGTTTTGACATGACCCTAAATGCCCTTGACAGCTTCTTTGTTATCTGGTTTGACAAGTTGTTCTAAGCTCATCTAGTATAATAGTTTTTCTGCCCCAGATTTAGAAGGCATTTCGCCGTGGGAGATTGTTTTGAAATTGTTTTGAAGATCACGGTCTGGGCACCAGGTGCACTCATTGTAACAGTGGTTTGGTGTTTGCTTTTAGGTTTTTCCAGTGCACACTAATTCAGATTCAGGACTAAAAGTTTTTTTTTTTTTTAATTTAATCTGTTCTCTCATATCTCCTTTTTCCTCACACTGAGTTGCCCGAGTTTCAAGGCCACTGGGGATGATAGAATATTAAATAATTGCTGAGTTGCTTTATTTCACATTGCACATAGAACAGTTTCACGGTAGTAACATTGACACTATCATCAGAAATATGATCATTTAAAGTTACTTTTTTTTTGTTTGTTTAAGACAGGGACTCGCTGTTACCCAGGCAGGAGTGCAGTGGCATGATCTCAGCTTACTACAACCTCCGCCTGCTGGGTTCAAGCAGTTCTACTTCAGTCTCCCTAGTAGCTGGGACTACGGGCGTGCGCCTGTAGTTTTAGTAGAGATGAGGTTTCCCCATCTTGGCCAGGCTGGTCTCAAACTCCTGACCTCAGGTGATCCGCCTGCCTCTGCCTCCCAAAGTGTTGGGATTACAGGTGTGAGCCACCACGCCTAGCCTAAAAGTACTTTTTTGAGGGGCATATCTATCTATATGATATATCACACTGAAAATATTATAGTCAAATTTACTATTTTAATATCGGTAGTCCTTTTCTGTGTCATATCATTAACTGTATATTTCAGTTTATTTGATTTTCTTTTCAATTATTTGGTTGCTCTTCTTAGATTTACTATCTCTGTTAAAGTCATCTTAATAGTGAGATTGACTAGTTATAAAAGGAAATAGATATAAGCAAAATAGACTGGTAACTAGGATACAGGATCACTAATTCTGTAATTTAACATCTCAGAGGTGAAAAGTGTGTTATGTTCCAGCAGTCTTTTCTTATTTGTGGCTGTTTGGAAGTCTAAATAGGGTGAATTTATGAAACGATTGATTCCTTTTAATATTGAAATTCACTGACTCTGCTAGTTTATCAGAGCTTCTAATGGGTAGCAATTTTTTTGATTTGAATTTTTCTTCTCTGTTTTTCTCTTTTCTTTCCCCCCTTTGGTTGTTTGAGGGTACTAAAAGTGAAATGATTATCAAAGGGAACTGGTGGACGGGGTGGAATGATGAATTGAATGGTCTGTATTATAACATTTGGACTCTAGTGATTCTGCTTTTCTGTAATTTCTTTTTTTCTGCAGCCTCAGCTGTTGCATATAATTTCTTTTGTAAGTGGATTGATACTGCACTAATACTTTCCATCCATTGCTAGCTTTCGGATTCTGTGAGTACAAGGAGCCAGAATCTACTCTCCGTGCACTCAGATTATTACATGACCTGCAAATTGGAGAGAAAAAGCTACTCGTTAAAGTTGATGCAAAGACCAAGGCACAGCTGGATGAATGGAAAGCAAAGAAGAAAGCTTCTAATGGGGTATGTTTTCTGTTGTGTTATCTTTTCTAGGCCAGCCTGTACTATTTCAGTGTAATGCTTCTCACTATAAATGAATCTAACGTGGGGCTTCACAAGATGATCATGTATGTGCTTGTGGCTTAAATGCAGGAGGGTATTTTATAGTTTGTAGTTATTTTAAGTCTTATCTACCCATAGTGGGTGGATGACTGTTGGTTTGCTTGTTCCAGGTTGGGATGAAGGTAGTAAGGGAGGCTGGACAAGGTTAACTTGCCAGAGAAAACACTGGTACAGACTATTCCAAACAGAGCTAATTCATTAAGACAGCTTTGTAAGTAAGTACAAAATATATTTCAACCTACACAATTTTTATTAGTTGCCCTGTCTTTTAGAAGTACACCGATTCTAAAACGAATGAAAGTCTGATTACTTGCCTTAGCTGGGGGGCTTTATTCAAGCTATGCTAAGTGAAGCTAAAATAAAGGAAATTGTTGTATATTGTATTGTAATGTGTACATTATTACCCCCTCTCAACAAAGTGAAACATAGCTAAAACTTGAGTATGTATTTTCTTGATTTCTCTTCTTAGTTCCTTCCTTTTTGGCATCTCATGCTGAACCAATCTAAAATAGATTTATTATTACCTTCGCCCAACGCAGACAAAACCAGAAAATCACTGTCATCAGATTTTTATTATCTTTCAAAATAGAAACAGCTTTCCACTGGGTGCAGTGGCTCACACCTGTAATCCCAGCACTTGGGGAGGCAGAGGCGGGTGGATCACCGGAGTTTGAGATGGAGTCTTACTCTTTTGCTCAGGCTGGAGTGCAGTGACCTCCTGGGTTCAAGTGATTGTCCCACCTCAGCCTCTCAAGTAGCTGGGATTACAGGCGCCTGCCACAATGCCCAGCTACTGATCTGTCTGCCTCGGCCTCCCAAAGTGCTGGGATCACAGGCCAGAGCCACTGTGCCCAGCCAGCGTTGCCCGTATTTCTAAAACATAAGTATAATTTTATCAAACTATTGCTTCTTATGTGAGACCCATCCTTAATGATTTTGGATTTCTTACAGAATAAACCCTCCTATCCTCACATCCCTCCCTCCTTTTTTTTGGAGACAGTCTTGCTCTGTTGCCCAGGCTGGAGTGCAGTGGCGAAACCTTGCCTCGCTGCTCTACCTCCTGAGTTCAAGCGATTCTCCTGCTTTGGCCTCCCGAGTAGCTGGGATTATAGCCACCACCATGCCCAGCTAATTTTGTGTTTTTAGTAGAGACAGGATTTCACCATGTTACCCAGGCTGGCCTGGAACTCCTGACCTCAGGTATTTGCCAGCCTTGGCCTCCCAAAGTGCTGGGATTACAGGCGTGATTCACTGTGCCTGTCCATAAAGCCTATATTTTTAGGATGACATTCAAGGCTTGCTCCAGTCCACCTTTCAAGCTTCCTTCTTCCCTGCCTCTGCACATACTACTGCACGTACCCCTACAGTCTTCCTTTTTTGCTTTGCTGGCATCTCATGTCTTTGTTGCCTATCCAAGCTCCCTGTTGAAATTCTCTCCATACTTATAATTAACATGTCCCTTGATTCATATAGACTTTGTCATTTCCTCTTAGACAGAATTAAGTCCTTTGTTCCCATATAAAGCAGATTTTTATAGCTGAATGTGTCTGCTTTTTAGTGTATATTGTTTATATCTCTCTCTTTCATTAGCCCCTTGTAACCCTTCTCATTCCCATATCTTCTTTCAACCCCCATCTCTGATTACAAATAGAAAGGGTGATAAGTTTGGGGGTTGTGTCTTTAATCTTGGACCTCCACAGCACCTAATATAATGTCTTACCTAAAGCAAGGATGGAATTAACATTTATTAACAGTTGCAGTTATGTTGCTTATCTGTCAGTCTTACTGTCTTCGCCCTGCTTCATAAGGAAATTATATTTTATTTCAAATCAGCAATATTGCCTGTCACATTACTAAAACCTCAAAAACCAGAAATATTTGCAATAAGAATTTTCAGGTTTGCCTTGTGATAACTGTATACTGACTATTTGAAAATACGGATTTAATATCTTCAAAGTGTTCCGATTTGCTAGGACTCCCTGTTTTCTTGTGTTTAGTCTTTAATTTGTGAGGTCATTTAAGTTGTAGCATTTGCAAATGTTCTACTGAAAAACTCTGAAAATGAAATCACTGTAATACATATTTTTACAAATAAGGAAGTGCACAATTGTGTGACTTTGCATTTCTGGCTTGCTTGCTTTTTTGGGTGGGGTTCGTGGCATGATCTCTGCTCACTGCAACCTCCTATTCCCAGGCTCCAGTGATCCTCCTGACTCAGCTAGGACTGCAGGTGTACACCACCATGCCTGGCTGAGTTTTGTATTTTTTACTGAGGTGGGGTTTCACAGTGTCGTCCAGGCTGGCCTTGAACTCCTGGGCTTAAGTGATCCACCTACCTCAACCGTCCAGAGTGCTGGGATTACAGGCAGAAGCCACTGTGCCCAGCCTGCATTTCTTGTATAATCAACATTAACCAGAGTAACCACACTTTAAATCTGTTGATCTTCAAGAAAAGCAATGTGTAACCAGGTGTGGTGGCTCACACCTTTAATCCCAGCACTTTGTGAGTCTGAGGTCAGAGGATCACCTGAGGACAGGAGTTTGAGAACAGCTTGGCCAACATGGTGAAACCCCATCTCTCCTAAAAAAGGAAATACAAAAATGAGCTGGATGTGGTGGTGCACACCTGTAATCCCAGCTATTTGGGAGGCTGAGGCAGGAGAATCACTTGAACCCAGAAGATGGAGGTTACAGTGAGCTGAGATTGTACTACTGCACTCTAACCTTGGTGTCTGCTTTTTAGTGTATATTGTTTATATCTCATTCTTTCATAGCCCCTTGTAACCCTTCTTTCTCATTCCCATATCCTCTTTCAACCCCCATCTCTGATTACAAATAGAAAGGGTGATAAGTTTGGGGGCTGTGTCTTTAATCCTAGACCTCCACAGCACCTCTCACTCTGTCTCACCTTTAAGACAGAGCGAGACTCTTTCTTTAAAAAAAAAAAAAAAAAAAGCAACATGCAATAAAGTCACATAGAATAATTATTTTCAATAAAATGAAATTAAAATGATTATCAGATATCACTTACATGATTTATTGTTCTGTTGTATGTGTATTGCTGGGTGCCCTTTGGCGTCGCGCCTAGAGGTACTTCAAGTCATAGGATAAACATGGCATATTTTCCTGGAGTGTCAATTTTACTCAACAGTATAGGTTAAAAAAACCATTCTATCTGATGTAAAAAAAAATTTTCAAATAACTTAGGCAAATATTACTGTATAGTGGAGTAGATTAGAGATTTACCATGATTTTTGTTTTGTTTTGTTTTTTAAGGGTAAAGGGGTATAGAGGGAGGGAAGAAAGCCAGAGAGTGAGAGATTGGAGGGACAGGGCTAGGGGTAGGAGGGAAGATGGTAGGGATGAGACTGATGGCCACCACCACCATGATCTTTCTTTCTTTTTTTCTTTCTTTTCTTTCCTTTTCTCTTTCCTTCCTTCTTTTCTTTCTTTTTCCTTCCTTCTTTCTTTTCTTTTCTTTATTTTATTTTATTTTGGAGACAGAGTTAATGTTGCCCAGGCTGGAGTGCAATGGAGCAATCTTGGCCCACAGCCCCCTCCCTCTCTTGGTTTCAGCCAATTCTCCTGCCTCAGCCTTCCAAGTAGCTGGGATTTTAGGCATCTGCCACCATACCTGGCTAATTTTGTATTT